TTAGCTTTCAGATAAGTTTCCTTGACACTTACGTATTCACTTCTAGTGCTGTGGCTAATGGTTCAAGATTCATGAGTATTTGGGGACTCAGCTACTTCTTTCCCCTCCTGCTTTCCTCCTCAGATCTTTCTGCAAAGCTTTGAAAATGGAAAAGGCTGAAGAGTATTTTTAAACAATTTGTAATGTAAAGTTTTTTAGTAATTTAGATATGACAATAACATTGCTTTTGCAATAAAAGAAAGACAAAGGCGGATGATTGTATATTTTGTTTAATACTTGCATTGTTTCTATAGCGCAATTATAGCAATCTTTAAATTTACTTTTCATTACAAATATTTGTCAAGTTTTGTTTCAGAAACATTTTTCCTACTCTCTTGCACATGCACCCAGACACGCTACAAAAAATTCATTCATAACACAGTAAGGGCAAACATTACTCATGTAAACATCTTCCATTAATTTCCCATAATTTAAAAAAATCATAGAATTATAGATATTGAATAAGGCTCATAGATTTAGTTCAAATTCCACAAAAGACCAAAGATGCTTCTTAACTGAGATGGGGTTGACTTTTGGTTGCGGCGAATGCCGGGAAGCATCCCCCTGGCTTCCACTCCTTAAACATACCTCACAACCTAAAAAAATGCATTTTTAGGAGAAAAAGAGAACAGAGAGGAAAAACTTTTAAAGTAGGGAGCTCAGAATCATGGACATAACTTTCTTATACCATAAGCAGGCATTTATGTCATCCCTGTCATTTCTCCATACAGCAATCAAGATTAAGTAGAGTAACCCCGAAATGTAACCAAGTAGATCTGTTAGGAGACATTGGCATGTGTGTTCATATTGCTAGTATACACAGTGAAAATTTGTCATATTTATATTTCATTATATCCAGGACCAAAATGAACAAGAACAAAACAACCCACTCAAGTCCAATGTCACTATAAAGGATTTTTTTTCCCCCCAGTAACTCAAGAGTCAGGGGGCTGGGAGGTATGCCTAGGGATGGGAGTGGTCTTGATATTTGGATGACTTCTAACAACTGTGAGTAAAGTCACAGCAGAGGAAGCAAGGATTCCCGTTATCCGAGGACGTCTCTCTCTCTGGTTGGAAGTTTGGTGCTGGGGTGCATAGTCTTCCAGAGCTGAGACAGGGAATGGGCTGTGCTGAGAAATGCGCCCCTGGCCGGCGGCTGCCTTCCCCTCCCTCCCTGGGAGGTGGAGGTCAGAAGGCAGGGATCGCTGGCAAAACCGTGAAGTCCCACCCTGGGGTCTGAGCCCCAACTCCACTGAGGGCAGCCTCCCTGACATTGTGACTAGGCAGTAGGGGTGGCGGTTGGTGGCCGGGCTTCACCCGGCCAGGTCTGGCTTCTGATTCTGCTGCCCTGCAAAGAAATTGTGCTCCAGATACTGCCCCGGGTTGGCTCCCGGGCCCCTAGTGAGTCACTGAAAGGCGGACACACCTTCATTAGCACCAAACTAACCACCAGGAAGCGGCGGAGGCACTGGCGAAGCCTACGGGGCTCTCTCCGGACAGACCGACAGACGGACAGACCGACAGGAGGCTGCCTCGGTCAGAGTCGTGCGTAGGCTTTTTGATTTTTAAAAATCAAAATTGATCTGCATTATATCTCAATAGACTCAGATAATTCTCACCAAAATTTTTTGTAATGTGTTTAAATAGCACTGGAATAATTCAACTTCATTTAAATATATTCATTCTACCATGAAAATATTTCATACAAACATCTATTTACATACAAACACATTAAAATTTGTGAAAAGGGTTTCCACCCCTGTGGTTGTATGGCTTGAAATCGTTTCATTGCTTTGAATATGTACGCACACATTTGGCAAAAGAAAAAAAAATTTAATTTAGAATTAAAAAAACAAACAAACAAACAAAAAACAACCCAAAACCTGACACCAAAGCTCCAAATTCCTCAAGGAAAGATCCAAGAAAAGAAACAATCTATTGAGGTACCTCAAGAACATGTAAATTTAATATATTTTGTGAACCTTTGATCTGTGGCAAATTAACATTACAACTATCCATCTTGCAACACAGTTTTGCTTGTTTTTCTACAACAAAAGATGTCTGGATTCTAAATCACTACTCTTAAGACAGAACTTGAGGCAAGGGTTTGAAAACAAAACAGAGAACTCTGTCTTCTTGGAGGATTTTAAATGCATTTTGCACTGAGTGATTTAATTTTTTACATATTAAATGAAAATTACTAAAAGTGCCACATACTGTCTCACTAAGACAACCCTTTACTTCACTGTTCACAATTAATGCAATTTTATTTTTTCCCAGTGCTGGGGATAAAACTCAGGGCCTCAGACTTCCTAGGCACATGCTGTGCCACTGAGCTAGTCCCCAGCCCAGTGAAATCTTCTTTTGTTACAATTAAATGTTGCAAATGGTTATATTTGGCCTTGTTGGCTATTTCAGGTTGTTCATGATGAGGAAATAGTTTTTCAAGTTTGATCAACCTACAGGGCAAAGAGGTTGAACTCTATTCCCAGATAGGTCCAAAGAGATCTTGAAAAACGAGTTCCCTTCTCAGGTGCTCAGGAAGACCAGGGGTGAAGCTGGTTAAAATCAGAATAGGTACTACAAAGCTCAAGTCCTCCTCAGCGGTCACTGTTAATTTCACCATTCCTTTGTGTCAGAAATTCAATCCTCCCCGTTGCTCTTGTTAGTCCACACAAATGCCAATTTGGGGACATGCTCTTACAGATTAGTTCCTATTCCTAACTCTAACACAAGATAATATTCATAATAGAAAAGATGCTAAGGCAAGGTCTAGTCATGCAGGGATTGGCTTGAGAGCTCCGAGTGAATCCCCTTGACCCCAGGGTGTCATGCACACACAGGTGCTGGCTGTTTTGGGAGAGCACAAGTCCTTATTCTGCACCATATGTGGGAGATACTATGCTAAGGCCACTTGATTCAGTTGCTTCCTGACTATGTTCTTTTGTAAAGGATGTAAAGCAGAAAAATACATTCTGAAGCTTTTCCACTTTGGTTCAACCAAGGAACAAACCCCTACCTCCTCAACAGTGAATTCTTCATGGAAACCCCACCCCATCAACTTCTTCACCTACCTACCAACACAGTGAATCTCCACCCCCTGAGTGCCAACTGTGACAGTCAGAAGTTTGGGAGAGAGAGAGAGAGAGAGAGAGAGGGAGGGAGGGAGGGAGGGAGGGAGGGAGGGAGAGAGAGGGAGAGAGGGAGAGAGAGAGAGAGAGAGAGAGAGAGAGAGAGAGAAGACTAGTAAGAGAGGAGAGGCTCTCTGCATGGAGAAAGAGATGGGCTGGCGCTATCATTCCACACGGAAGCCCAGGCAGTTCTCATGCACGGAGAGAGAAGAGGAAAGAGACACAAGAGCTAGAAGACAGGTGAGTATGAGAAGAGGGAGAAACACACAGAGAGATTTCCTCTGATTTGTTGCAAGGTCACAGACAACCGCTAGATTTTAAACCCAGACTGTGAGCATTCACTGATGTGGAGAATTGATTATCTGGTTAATCAATTAACTTACAACTCTCCAATCCCATTTATCCAAAAAATATATATTTTAAAAAAATCCCATTTGAATGGGATAAGAATAGCCCTTTAGAATAGAAATGATACCCCACTGAAACCACCCTCAGGCCCACCCATCCTCAGGCACGAAATGACTGAGCCAGCTGTGAGGAGGCGTGACCTGCATTCTCCCCTCCAGCCCAGGTTTCACTGCCCAAGGTCCTGACGGGGTGGATGAAAGCCATCTTTCTCCTGAAGACAGTCACTCACTTTGGGACACATTTAAATTAAAGCACCTATCAAAATACAGATCCAGAGCCTTCGCCCACCTGTCACAGTTCACAGACCAGTCTCTTTCTACAGAATAGAAGCAATCCTATCCTGGTGCATTTCATCTAAAAACTCTATTGGGAGATCTTTCTGGAAGCCTGACAACTTCCTCTCCTGTGGGAACTGGCAGCTCAAGCTCATAAACAGGGATCCAACTGGATTCTCCGGAAACCACTGCCATCTAGCTGCAGAGGAGGCAGCTGGATGTTCCAGGAAGCCTGTCCTTGCAAAGAGAAGAGCATCCCTGTCATTCACTGTCCTGAGGGTTGAACCCTGAGCCCAGAGGCCGCCTCAACCAAAAATGGGGAGCAGCCTGGAATCAAGCACTTTTGTCAAAGGCTTGGTGAGAACAACGTGTCACTGACAACCAACAGGGAACTTCCTCTGCTGGGTTCCTCACTCTCTCCCACTCCCAGCAAGCATCTCTCATCAGTTGGAGCTCTCTGCACAACTTGGAAGGCATTAGCTTTCAAGACCAAACCGACAGAGGTGACAGGTGGCACAGTTGACAGCTGCAGACTGGCACAACTGCTGCTCCCAGGCCTTCCAGCCACCTCATCTGTCCAGGCGGCTAAAGAAGACAGAGCCATGGCATGTGATGAGGGGGCTTATCAAAAATGACAGCTCTCAGAATTCACTCAGAGCAACCCCAGTTATGTTACAGATCTAATATGCTAAACTAAAAAACAGGGTTTTTTTCCTTATTTCTGAAGTGGTGATTATACATGGCTTGTGAAATGGCTGAAATGCTATCAATAATGCTTTTAAAGTATGCAGGTGTGAACTCTTAGCTTACAGGTAAGTGCTCTGAAATTACAACGAGGAAGAGTTTTAGCATTAAGGTTTGATTTGTACCTAGTGATCAGTATGTCTGCTTTCATAGTACTGATTTAAAATACATTTTTGAATTCTGCATTAGAACTCAAGTTTTCTGTTTGACTTCTGAATTCAATGCACTGGGCACCCCAAGCTAGGCTGTGCTAGGTTATGTACATGTAATGTGTACCCAGGGAGAAAAAAGAGTCGCTAGCACTATTGAAGATATTGCAAAATTGCCACAGTTACTGCTTGGAAATAACTAATTTTCCTCTCTTCTTTCTTAAGGTATATATTACAACTCTTCCATAACTTAATGCAAACAAAGCAAATTCATTTCTTCTCACATCTGAAAGCAAAGATATCTTTGTTTACATGCGAGAATAATAATTCTATAGTAATATCCTGGCCTTAGGAGCCAGTACTTATATTAGGACATAATAATGAAATAATGATATAGAAAGAACCAGAGAGACGTACACATTGCCACGGATGCAGAATCCATGTGGAAGTTTCTCCTGTGAAGGGCATCTACGATAGGAAATGAGAAGAGTAACTCAAGTGGGCTTCTGTTCACTAGGAAAAAAAAAACAAAGCCATTCTATTGCAAGATACAGATCAAAGGTTAAAAGGCAAATTATCCTACATTGAGAGAATAAAGATGTCGTCGTTCTCTACTCCAGCACGGCACAAAGACAAGTGCAACGACACAGTCTGCTTTGGCCGTAGGAAAAACATCATGGAAAACCCCCGACAAAAAAAATGACTGAAAAAAAAACCCCTTTCCCTTTTTCAGTCTAATCATTTGGCATCTCTGAACGTGGTACAGATTTAGACTTGAACCACCAAAGTACATGGTGCTGTCTGTGTCAGCGCTCGGCAAGACCTCTCAGTAAGACGTTGTTGCAAGGCTAGCTAATTTTAAATCTGGTATGAGTAATACAGTCAAACCTAGTTAGTATGCGAGAAAGTCGTTGCTAACGCAGGGTGAGAGGATGTGATGTCACAGCATGAGCAGTCCCTGGTTGTCCCATTGTTGGATAAACGTAGTGCATAGATCCAAGTTTCTATTCCAGGTCTCTGGACTCCGGAGCCAGGCCTTTCACTTTTGCTGGGTGGCCTGGAAGGCCTTCAGCTCCACCTGGTACCACTCGGGGGCTTCAGGCCCGCTCTTTCCAGGAGGGCTGTGGTCATAGCCGTAGGCAACCGTGAGCTCCTCGTCGGCCTCCACTGCTCGCAGGGTGCGGATGCATTTGATGGGCCCGAAGCGGGGGTGGACAAACCTAGACATCAAGATGCACACGGTCATGCCAGGGCCAGACCTGGGAGGGAGAGGCAAAGGCCAGCGAGGGGCCAGCGCAGATGAGCCCATGTGCTCTTGCCTGGGCACCGCTGGAGGGCACTGGAGGTGCACGCACAGGTCAGCCAGCTTCTGCTTCACCTGGGCGCTCATTAGACTACAGCATCTCAGCCATGCCTAGACATAGGTGGGAATGTGCATTTAACAACACCTGGAGATTCACTGGCATATTCAAGTTTGAAAAGCACTGCTTTATCTTCCGTTTTGAGCATATTGGGCACTCTATTTTTTTTGGGGGGGGGTACCAGAGATGGAACCCAGGAATGCTTAACTACTGAGCCACATTCCCCATCCTTTTTATTTTGAAACAGGGTCTTATTTAGTTGCTTAGGGCCTCGCTAAGTTGCTGAGGCCGACCTTGAACTTGTGACCCTCCTGTCTCAGCCTCTTGAGTCGCTGGGTTACAGGTATGTGCCACTGCACTGGGCAATGGCACTCTGTATTTCTTAAGCAACAAGCAGGGTCAACAACAAAAACCTGTCCTTAATGAAAAGTGAGATCCCGTGCAGCTTCCCACAGTTCAGCTCACTGCCTGGTAGCATCAGGCTCCTTGGCTATTTCTCAAGCAGAAAGAAGGCTTGATCAGATTGCTTTTTTGGAATTGTAAGGACAGCCTTGTGGCTTTTCAAAAGCAAAAAAAAAAAAAAAAAAAAAAAAAAAAAACCCACTTGTATTGCACCCTATCCATAGAGAGGAAGTATTACTTTCTAGCATAAGAGTAGATGAAGATTTCTTCCCAAGAGGGAAGTCTAGACCTTTCTGCCTACCTGCTTCTTCCATATTTCCCTTGGTGGGAAGCATCCTGTGAAGGGAAGAATATCTCCTCCTAGTAAAATCCTCTCAGAACCAGAAGTGGAGTTAACATTCTATAATCACTTGCCACAGGTTCCCACCACTGTTCACCTGCCCAGCGCCCTGCATAACAGGTGCATAAATAAGTAATGGACTTAGCTCCCCTGACAGTTGCTGAAAGGGATCTAAGGCCAACAGGCCAGAGAGCAATCTACTTTATTTTTATATGCATTTGGCCAACTCAATCTCATTCACTTATAGTCATATGTTAAACAAAGGGCCCTGAGTTGGGGTGCATATGATAGTTTGGCTGACTCCCTCTGTTGGTGGTGGAGATAGGAGCATCTGAGGTTTTGGGCTATCTTCCATGTGGTATAAAAAGGAGCAACCTATACCTCACACCAAAGAGGACTCCATGTCCACCAGAACTAACACCAGAGTCTCCTGACCCCAGGTTAAATGTCCCTTTTATGAAACATCACGAACATCTCTTTTATGATAAAATACTATTTCACCAAAGGGATACTTAACTTGGGGTCAAAAGACTCTGTTGTTAGTCCTGGGTCCACACATATTACTGGGTCTTCTTGGAAACTCCACCTTGTATTTCTCTCTCTCTTTTTTTTTGGTGGTGGTGCTGGGGATTGAACCCAGGGCCTTGTGCATGTTAGGCAAGCACTCTATCAGCCCCTCCACCTTGTATTTCTGAATCCCACTTTCTTAACCTATAAAATCATAATGATACTAGTAAGACTTACCCTATGGGGTCATCATGGTGACAAAATGGGGTCACACACAGAAAGCACCCCACACAAATCCTGGTACAATAGAGGACTTGACTAATATTAGTTACTGTGTGTGTGTGTGTGAGCATGCCTATGTGTGAACTTGTGTGTGAATGTGCGTGTGTGTGTGAGCATGTGTAAGCATGTAAGCACACAGTAGTATCAGATTGTGTCCATCACAAAGGAGATGCCTACACCAGGGATTGAGGAATTCCTTGTTAAAAAATCACAACTTTATAAATTAAAATGTTCATCATAATTTCCATCATGTTCTTTCAGGATGAAGAAAAAAACTGCACTCCTGAAATAGAGCTCTGATTAATCTTCTGACCCACTGAAAAAATCCTGGGTTGCCTTTTCCGGGCCTACAGGGTTTCTATGATCCTCTTGTATTTCCATTTTCTTGCTCATCATCATTGTTTTCAGAGTAGATAATGGGCAGATTGAAAAGAAGGAACTTATTTCAGTGTTGATCCTTGGAGAGGGCATTTCTAACCCCTGGGCCTTCCTGATCTGCATTTCCTGGTCTGAAATCTGGAAAGTAATACCAGTGGGCTCTTGAATTCCTGGGCTGATCAAATGAGATAATGCATGAAAAGCACCCAGAGTGAAGATTGGGGTGTGGCTCAATGATAAAGTATGTGCTTAGCTTGTGTGAGTCCCTGGGTGTGATCCCCAGCACCACCATCACCACCAAAAAAAAAAAAAAAAAAGTACCCAGAGTAGTTACTGACCATTTTCAGCTGCATGATTGGCCATCAACCCAAACCTCTGTGCTAAGCAGTTTGACCCCTGTCCACATGTTACCTACATTTACAGCTAGGAAAGATCTTGTCTGTGTCCATTTGACATTTTGTGCCTGGTTACATTTAAAACAGCTTAGGAAAGTGTTGTTTTACTTATATTAAAGTGTATGTAACAATACCAGTGTTGGGAACTAAATGAATGCCATGAATTGCAATCTGAATGTTAGATTTGATTAGTATTCAAGTAGTCCTCCCCTGACCCCAAATAACTAAGGTTTGATCACACTGAGTTTGCAAACAATCAGCCAACCAACAACCAAAGCAAAACCTGCAGAATGGGTTGGGGATGTGGCTCAGTGGTGGAGAGTTTGCCTAACAGGTATGAAGCCCTGAATTCCATCCCAAGTATCAAAAAAAAAAAAAAAAAAAAAAAAACCCTTCTGAGTAAAGAAACTTGCATTTTTGCATTTGCACCAATGGAACTTTCTCTTATCTCCTGTACTCTTTTCCTGTTAGTGAGAAAAATCATGTCCTTGCAATAGAATCATAGAGCTAGTTTGTTTTAAAGGAGTGGTCTCAGTGGCATTTATGATGGTTAGTTCCCATGCTTTAGGGGCCTTGTTGTTTCACTGTGTGCAGCTTGGGTTGATGCTTTGGCTAATGCACTGGCCATGAAAGCCTTGCTGTTAATAACAGTGTCAGTTTCATTTCACTTGACACATGTCCTTTGCCATTTCTGCCGCTCTTTGAACAGAAGTTGTAGCTCCAGTGCTTGTTATTGGCTGCCAAAGAGAGCAGATTACTGCCAGAATGATTTTTTAAGCCATCTCAGGGATGCAAGAGGAGACATTCCTGAGGAACCTTCAACTCTTGGCAATTTCCCTGCACATGAACTGCCTACGATCTGCTCTTGCTTATGCTAATAACCTGGGTGACCTGAGGAGCTGCAGTTATAATAAAGCAGAAAAGGTCATGTGCAGCTCACTGGCTCCCAGGAAAAGTTGGCAGGCTCAGGCCAAGCTCAGGAGGCAACAGAGAAGACCAGATGTATCCTTCAGAGAACAGTCAGAGATGCTTGGCTTTGGGAAGAGGACATTTGGGGGCTTGTGAAAGCTGCTAAAATATTTGCAGCGCTATCATGTAGAAGAGAGATTGACAGATTACACAGGAAAGAGACAATTAGACGGAGGGCTGAATATTACAGGAAAACCCATTTAGGCTCAATAAAAGAAACCTGCTAGTTCTCAGAACCCAAAGGCAAATTTCATGCTGTCTCTTTCAATTGCCTTTGTGGATAACAGTAAGCTCCCCACCAATGGAGGTTTCCAAGAAGAGAGTCAACGAGCAGATGGAAGGACAGGCTTGAACACCAAGGGGGACAGGGGTATTTGATTTTTTAAAATACAGCTTTGTCAATATATAATTCACGCACCATAAGATTCACCCTTTTAAAGTAGTCAATTCTGCAGTATTTAAATATTCACAAACTTGTGAATCGATCACCATCATCTAATTTTGGAAATTTAATTGCCCTCAAATGACACCCCACTCCCATTAGCAGTCACTCCTTAGGTGACCTCCCAGCCCCAGGCAGCCACTAGTCTACTTTCTCTCTCCATGGATTTCCCCCTTTGGACATTTCATACAAATGGAATCACCCAATATGTGGCCTTGGTGACCTGATTCTCCCATTCGGCGTAGTGCAGCTAACTCTCACCACACTGTGGCGGGTGTCAGTGCTTCATGCCTTTTTATTATCATAATTGGGGCTCTGATTTTATGGTGCTCTTCTATGAAACTTCATGCCCTTGGTGTAGGATTTTATTTCTCTCTTCCTTTCACATCATAAAAAGGGTTTCCTAACTTTCTCAATTGTACAGAGTAATTTCAGATAATCCTAAATTTTTTATTTTGTGTTTTTTTTGCATTGCTGGGGCTCAAATCCAGGGCCTTATGCATGCTAGGCAGGTGCTCCATCACTGAGCTACACCCCCAGCCCCAAGTGAGAAAACTGAAGGACAAAAGGGCAGTAATAAAACAACCACTAAGTACCCTCTTCCTGTGGCATGTCCTACTGTGGGAAGCACTTGTCTATCTCTTGGCTTGCCAAGGCCTCAGTGTGGGGATGTCTGGATTTTTGTTTGTTTGTTCTTTTTAGATACAAATAACAGTAGAATGCATTTTGACATAGTTTACATACATGGAGTGTAACTTCCCATTCTTGTAATTGTACATGATGTGGAGTTACACTGGTGGTGTGTTCATATATGAACATAGAAAAGTTATGTCTGATGCATTCTGCTGTCTTTCCTATTCCCATCCCCTCCCTTCCCTTCATTCCCCTTTGTCTAATCTAATGGGGATGTTCAGATTTTGAGTTTCAAGTCATAACACAGGCCTGTGGCACAGGCCCTTTGGTTATTCTGATGGGGCATCTTTTATCTGAAATTTAGGGATACTTCCCAAGGGTGCTCCTCAGTCCCAGGGCCCCGGGCATAGATGCATCCAGCAGCTCAGGGCCCCACTTACATATCGTAGATGCAGTTTGGAGTGAAGGAGTGGTTCGCCTTGTGTCCCAAGGAGGCACAGTACTTGGATACGTGGTTGTAGGGTTCAGGCACATCAATGACTGTGTCCTCATCGAGGGAGAGGGTGTTTCCATTAAGGGCCCAGTCCCTGCTGTCGACCTGCAGGGAACAAAACAGTGGGCATTGGAGGGTGCCTATCTCTCAAAACTCATAAGATGCCAGAGATATTAACTCATTTCTCCTTAAACTTCATAATTTGAGTATTATAGATGTGGAAAAACAAACACAAAACCCAAGACATCTCTCCACACATGGATGGTGCAAGCAGACAACTCAATTTACTTTTCATTGATTTTCCCCCCTCATTTTATATAGAAAAATTGAGTTCCCTTCCTTGTAAAGACACACAAAAATCTAACTAGATAACTTGAATTAAAAGTAGATGAAAGCTGAAGTGGTGGTGCATGCCTATAATCCCAGCAATTCAGGAGGCCGAAGCAGGAGGATCACGACTTCAAAGCCAGCCTCAAGCAACCTAGCAAGGCCTTAAGCAACTCAGTGAGACCCTGTCTCTAAATAAAATATAAAAAAGGGGCTGGGGATGTGGTTCAGTGGTTAAGTGCCCTGCGTTCATCTCCCAGTTCTGGGGGCTGGGTGGGTGGGGAGAAGATGAAGACGAGGCAAATAAATATATGAATAAATAAATAAAATAGGAACATCAAATGGATGTTCATGTATGAACATAGGCTAGTTATGTCTGATGCATTCCCATCCCACCTCCTTTCCCTGGGAGAAGTGGGGGGTGATGTAGCTCAGTGGTAGAGCACTTGCTTAGCAGGTGCAAGGCCCTAGGTCCCATCCCCAAGAGATCTCATCATGTATATGCAAATATTCCAAAATCGGAGAAAATCCCAAACCCCAGACATTTATGGTCCCAAACATTTCAGATAGGAAACCCTCAACCTGAATGTTTCGTTTTTCTGAAGCCACTGTTCATATGCTGAACTTCTTGGGCTTTCTGGAGTGCCTTCAGAGGTCACAGGGACCCTGCTCCTTTGGAGTGCACTTTCCCTTGGCTGGTGCACCAGCTCTGCATGTGTGAACATCTCATGGTATTTTGTTCTTTATTGTTTGGCAGGGATGAGTAAAAAAAGTGGAGATAGGAATGTGAAACATTCACCGTAAGCTTCAGTTCCACTCAGTAAAACTGAATCAGGGATGGAAGTCACTCACTGGGCAGAAGGCTTCAAATTTTGCCCTTAAGCAAACTCTTAGAGGTTAGCTGAGAAGTGAAGAAAACAAAACAAAACAAAACAAAAAAACCCCAGAACATACGTCAAATATGTCAAAGTTTGTGTCTCAAAGGGAAGAGGTGATTCAACTGAAACATTCTATCAGCACCTAGAACTCTTCCCAGCAAGACACAGGCTGCGTATAGCTTTTGCACTACCAGGAGAAGGGGCTTTCCTAGAGGGCACCCTGCCCAAGGTCATGAATCAATTACTGACAGAATCTGACTGGATCTCAATTTTCCAGACATTGGGTATGTCTTGTACAAAGCAGTTACTGTCTCAGGGACGGCACTGCCCCCCTTTCTATGAATTAGCTGTGGAACTTTAAAGGGACCCTGTTTGAAACAAATGCTTTAACCAATCCCACAGCTTGTCACCTCTCCCCACTCACCTCTTGGTGTGTGATTCGGACTCCATTATAAAAAGACATAACAGTATTCGGTCCCACTGCTACCTTGGAAAATAGTCCTTCTCCGGCACTGGAAATGAGAGACTCAGCAACATAAACCCTACATGGGGGAAAAATAAAAATGTATATGTCACTCTTTACGTCAACCACCAAATTATCAATATGGCTACTGGATCCAAAATATCAGTTCCTAATAACCAAACGAAGAAGAAAAGAAGGAAGAAAATGTTAAACCACAACATTTTAACATCAGAAAAAGAAGAAATAGCAGTATAAAGCTACCCAGGACTTGCTATAGCAGCGATTTTCTTTTGGTGGATGGTGAATGACAATTTTGAGTCTGATTGTACAAGTCGATCAGTCTCCAAAGTTAGTTAAAACTATACCCAAGTTTGTCAATGTCAGTGATGAACCCAGCCTAATTCCATTTTAAGATTGGGAGCCATCTCATCACAAAGTCATGAAAAGTTAATTTCTGTTTTACTATAAATTACTGAGATTTCTAAACTTGTTTGGAATTCCTGCCCATGCTCTGAACTCACCCATGTCTGGCTCTTCTTGACCAGATAACAACCCTCTCTAAAACCTTAGTGGCACCTCATAAATCCTGGCTCCCCCTGACCAGATAACGATCCTCTCTGAAACCTCAACAGTGCCTCATAAATTCTGATATTGGGATCTGAAATTACTCCCTACCTTGAAATATCATGCCATGTAGATCATTAACCTACTATCTGCCTTTGTATTATGCTTGACAAAATCCTGTTTTTTTCCACCCCCCTTTGAAACTTTTTGTGCTATAAAACCTTTTTCCTGGAGAGCTGGGGGGCTGATCTCTAGCTCGGAGTGGGGAGAGACAGTCCTGGCCAGCTTTATTTGTGTAAACAATATAAGCTTGCTTTAATTTGATTTAAAATTGGAGTTGGTGATCTTTTCTTTGCATCGTGGTTCAACAGTCAGGAGGGGAACACTGTTTCAGTTAAACCCCAAGATGAATCTTCTACATGGAGGAGTGACAGTTAATAGGAATAATTACTTCCCCCTTCTTTTTTGTGTTGCTGGGGATTGAATCCAGGGCCTTGGGCTTTTGAGACAAGCACTCTACCTACCAACTGATCTATATCCCCAGCCCTCCAACAAGTACTTCCCAACAAAGTGGTTTGTCCAGACACTGGCTAACAAAAGCCCAAGGATCAAATCTGGCTGCTGCTCATTTTTGTAAATAAAGTTTTATTGGAGCACAGCCACCCGTATAGGCTTGGTATCTTCCTGACTGCTGTAGCTCTACTAAGGCAGAGCTGAGTACTTGCAATGAAGCTCACCAGCCTACAAAGCCTAAATATTTACTATGTGGCCTTTTGTAGAAACGGGTTGCCAATCACTGGTTTATAAGAAGCAAAGACAGCATTCTGCCATAGAACTCTGTGTGTGTGTGTGTGTGTGTGTGTGTGTGTGTGTGTGTGTTAGTTACTGGGAATGAAACTCCAGGGTCCTCTACTATGGAGCTATATCCCTACCACTTTTTTTTTTCCCCACAATGCCTTTATTTTGTTTATTTGTTTTTATGTGGTGCTGAGGACTGAACCCAGTACCTCCCACATGCTAGGCAAGCACTCTACCACTGAGCTACAGCCCCAGCCCCTTCCCGCTTTTTATTGATATTTTAAGACAGGATCTCACTAAGAGGCTGGCTTCAAATTTGTAGTCCTCCTGCCTCAGCCTCCTGAGTCACTGGGATTACCAGTGTGCACCATTATGTCCAGTTGGATTTGAATTTTAAAACAGAATATATGTTCCATCAACAACTCTTTCAGTTCTTTGGACACCATGATGGAATGATGCTGCAAGGATTGGTCATTTGTAATTTTTGTTACATGGAATTTGTGTTTATTTCATGGACTGAATAACAGCTTCCAATTCTACTCTGTGATAGGAGTATACATCCTGCCACTTTACCAGGTGACCTCGAGGAGTCTCCCCAGTGGTGGATCACACATGTCCGCCCTGCTGACTTAGTACTTGGCTATATTCTGCTTTGTTAGCAGAATGGACAGAAGCGACTGCATGCTGGGTCTCAGGTGGAAGAGCCCTGGAAGAGTTCTGCCAGCCTCCTCCAGCATTTCCATGAGAAGAACATGCCCCGGGGGCTGTACTCCTGTAGTCCAAGTCTTGGAATGAAGATGCACGAAACAGACCTGAACCCAACTTGAAGCCTGGAGTCCAGCCTAGTCCAGCTGAACTAGTTGATCTGGGTCCAAAGGGGCTGAACCTCAGCCAACCTGTAGAACCGTGTCACATAAAATGTTTGCTTTGGAAAATGAGCACATTGTTTGGAGGGTGTCATGAAGAATCACCCCAACAATAATAAGACTGATATATACAGTTATGATGCTGTGTTGTTTTAGGGCCAACAGAGACACAACTGTCTTCTTTGTAACTGGGCCAGAGCCTCTTGTCAAAAAGAGGCTTGTGACATTGCAGGGTCAGCCCTGTCAGCTAAGTCAGGGGACAGAGACCGAATCAGAGCGAGGCAGAGAGAAAACCAACCTCAGAGGTGTCCTTGCTCAGAAACACCAGCTGCTAGGGAATAAGGATCCCAAGCAGGGTATCAGCAAAAGCCACCCGAGAATGGAGGGTACAGTGCAGCCATCCTCAAGGATAACATGTGAAGTGGAACAGAACTTGACACTTGGAGTGAGCTTGTAGAACCAGAGACTTGTCATTTACAAGCTGGAATGTTTTTTATGCTTTATATGTTCAGTTTCCAAACTTTCCTTGATGATTGAATAAATTGCCTTGCGCTCCGGACCTTCAGCTGGGCTTAGAAAAGGAACGTTCTGGGGGTGAAGGCTAGGGCTTTAAAGAACGTGAAATGCTCCCCTGGAGGACTGCATGAGTGTGCAGCAGAAACCTTGCCACCAGAGCTCTAAGAAAGGGGGCCCTTGGGCAGGGCGGAGCCACCTGGCCTATGGCTCTGATCACCTGGAGCTTCCATGCCAGGAAACATGGGAGCCCTGCTCTGCGCTTGATAAGTGTAGAAACCCTCTCTAGGGAGAGATTCTGTATGAGATTAAAAACACTCATCCTCAGAATATGTAAACATTTATTTGGAAGGTTTGCAAAGGACAAGGGACACTCTCATGAGGGGCTTTGACAGAACAGAAGGAGCCCAGCTTCAGCAGAGCGTGAAAGGCATGTGAATTCCCATCACTAGGATTTTTTTGCACCAAGGATTGAACACAGGGCGCTTAACCACTGACCCACATCCCCAGCCCTTTTTATATTTTTAAATTTATAGACAGGGTCTCACTGAGTTGCTTAGGACCCCTCTAAGTTGCTGAGGCTTGCTTTAAACTTGAAATCCTCCTGCCTCAGCCTCCTGAGTCACTGGGATTATAGGCATGCACCATAGCACCTGGCTCACCACTAGGATTTTTAGCTCTACATAAACAGTACAATTAAAACCACAAGGAATTGCAGCACCATACAGATTTAATGCAATTCCAATCAAAATCCCAATGGTATTCCTCATAGAAAAAGCAGTCATGAAATTCATCTGGAAAAATAAGAGACTCAAAATAGCTAACGCAATCTTAAGCAAGAAGAGTGAAGCAGGCATCACTATACCACACTTTAATCTATACTGCAGAGCAATTGTAACAAAAACAGTATGGTACTGGCACCGAAATAGACTGGTAGACCAATGGTACAGAATAGAGGACACAGAGACTAACCCACAAAATTACAATTATCTTACATTAGACAAAGGCACCAAAAACATACATTGGAGAAAATACAGCCTCTTCAATAAATGGTGCTGAAAAAAATTGGAAATCCATATGCAACAAAATGAAATTAAGCCCGTATCTCTCACCATTTCTCACAAAACTCAACTCAATGTGGATCAAGGGCCTAGGAATTAAATCAGAAACCCTGCGTATAATAGAAGAAAAAGTAGGCCCTAATCTCCATCATGTTGGATTAGGCCCCAACTTCTTTAATAAGACTCCTATAGAGCAAGAATTAAAATAAAAAAATCAATAAATGGGATGGATTTAAACTAAAAAGTTTCTTCTCAGCAAAAGAAACAATCAGTGAGGTGAATAGACAGCCTACATCTTGGGAGCAAATTTTTACCCCTCACACATCAGATAGAGCACTAATCTCTAGGATATATAAAGAACTCAAAAAGCTAAACACCAAGAAAATAAATAATCCAATCAATAAATGGGCAAAGGATGTGAACAGACACTTCTCAGAAGATGACATACAATCAATCAACAAATACATGAAAAGGTGTTTATCATCACCAGCAATTAGAGAAATGCAAATCAAAACTACTCTAAGATTTCATCTCACTCCAGTTAGAAAGGCAGCTATTATGAAGACAAACAACAATAAGTGCTGATGAGGATGTGGGGAAAAGGCACACTCATACATTGCTGGTGGGACGGCAAATTGGTGCAGCCAATATGGAAAGCAGTATGGAGATTCCTTGGAAAACTGGGAATGGAACCACCATTTGACCCAGTGATCCCTCTCCTTGGTCTATACCCAAATGACTTAAAAACAGAATACTACAGGGACACAGCCATATCGATGATTATAGCAGCACAATTCACAATAGATAAACTGTGGAGCCAACCTAGATGCCCTTCAGTAGATGAATGGATTAAAAAAATGTGGCACATATACACAATGGAATGTTACTCAGCAATAAAAGAGAATAGAATCATGGCATTTTCAGGTAAATGGATGGAGTTGGAGAAGATAATGCTAAGTGAAGTTAGCCAATCCTCCAAAACCAAATGCCAAATGTTTTCTCTGATATAAGGACGCTGACTCATAGTGGGGTAGGGAGGGGGAGCATGGGAGGAATAGATGAACTCTAGATAGGTCAGAGGGGTGGGAGGAGAAGGGAGGGGGCATGGGGGTAGGAAAGGTAGTAGAATGAGATGGACATCATTACCCTAAGTACACATATGAAGACATGAATGGTGTGATATACTTTGTGTACAACCATAAGAAAAAAAAACAACCCATAAGGAAAAAGTTACCTGTCCGATTCATAAGGATCTGGAAGGAGAGCATTGGTTGAAATGCAAGATGAAGTCGATTTATCAAAGTGGTACACGGAGCCTAAAAAGCAAAAACAAACAAGCCAACCGTCAATGCAGGTAGAGGGTAGGGGAAGAGCATTTAAAACATTTACTTCTATCCAAGGCACAAGAAAGAGCTAAACAACCACAGAGATTATTCTGGTTATACCTTTTCGAATGCAATTTTTCCATTCAAATAGATTTATTCTTCAGTTGTATTTTCAAGTCTTAATGAACAGCCATTAAAAGTGCATCTTAAAAATCCCTATTTTGCGATAGGGATTCAAGAGAATTTTCTTCATTCAAACAATTTAAAAGATACTTGGCTACTTAATAATTGTTTTTTTTTTTTTTTTAATAAAAAATGCTTGTTGTGGAATTTTCAGATATCTGGTCAGATCAAATTGAATAGTGGTTAAAAATTTTGTTGTGGTTTTCTTCATACCAGACAGTCTGTAAAATCTAACAACTGAGCCCTGGCTGTTGGTTCTTTCACTAAGAATAAACATTCAGTCTCCAGAATTCAGGAGGAGTGCACTCACTGCTTTTGATAAAGCATTAACAAAGTCATCTTATTTCTGTTGAGGTGGTTCAGAACCCAATCAGTAATTTTTTCCAGAAACTAAGATGTGCAACCATTCGAGAATTACCAATGACTCCCTGCAAAGAATAAGCCTCAGAGAATTCTCATCAAGCATAATGGAGACATATGATGTTCTGAAGACTAATAAGTAAAGAAACAAAATTTAGAACCGGGGGGCTTAACTGCTGCAAAGTAAATTATTTTAGGCATTGAGACATCACTAATAATCCATTAGGCAGTTCTGCGGTGGTTACCAATGGCTACCAGGTCCTCTATTTTTTTTGTACAACCCAAGCCCAAATAAATGTCTCAAATTAAAAGTTAGAAAACAACCCAAATCAGTCAGGACTAAGTAAGAAATAGGCCATTTAAGTATTTCAAAAAGAGAGAATTTAACTCAGGTAATTAGTTATACTGGAGACAGGAGAACTGAGAAGCCAAGATGGAGTAGGGAGGAGACAGGAAAAGGAAGCCTCCACTCTAAGTTAAGGGGTCTAAGGGGATGTGGTGCACCTGGGGCTCTAGGGCTGGGGTGGCCAGAGTTATGGTGGACTTCCCTGGTGGGAGATGGAATCAGGAGGCGATGGCTAGGCTGCTGCTGCAGATGCACAGAGAGGGAGCTTCCCCAAACCCCCTCCCTGTCTGCCCCGGGGCCAGTAGCCTCCCTGTGGCCAAACCCAGACAGAAGACTGATAACAGAAAAGCCTAGGAAATGCAGAATCCCCTTGCAACAGAAGCAGGTGAGAAAGAATGAGAAATAGATCTGAGAGTAAATCAGTAAGACAATCCATGAAAGGCATTTAGTTCAAAAGAGAGAGAGAGAAAAAAAAAAACCACACAATTTTTTTTAAACCAACCTTGTGTGTGTGTTGTGTTTGTATGTGAGTGTGTGTGTGTGTGTGTGTGTGTGTGTGTGTGTGTGTGTAGTCCAACCCAGAGCCTCACACATGCTAAGCAAGTACTCTACCACTGCGCGAAATCCCCAGCCCTAAATCAAACATTTGTGTGAAAATTCTATAAATTTCCATCTCCTTCCTTAGACTAAAGCTTTCAACCCCAGTGTACACTGTGTGCCAGCTACATGTAACACAACACCTCAGGGACGCTGCCGATACAAATGGGTTACATCTGTCCTGTATTCCAGGCTGCAGAACAGCTTCTTCCACTCCCTAGGACACGCAGGACTCCAGGCAAGCACAACATTCCCTTTTCCGTCTCCTTTCCTCCCTAGTTTTCACTGTGACTTGGGATTAGAACACATCACGCACTCAGCAAGCACTGATTATAACAGTGAGCCAGAGAGCGCAGGGCCTGGCCAGGGGAGGGAGTCTCCAGGGAAGGCTGAAGAGTGAGAAGAAAGTCCCCAGGGGCGGAGGGGGGGGGGGGGATGTGGCCACAAAAGCACGAGGGGAAGGGGGGGGGGGGACAGGAAGCCAGTGAGGTGGCAGGTGGGGGAGAACTTTATGGAGCAGATGGTCACATGACCCTGGAACATCTACTTCATTGGTTAGTCAGCAACAATGCCAACTAACAGGAGGGCGGAGGAGAGCCATAGGAACGTGGCAGGACACTAGATCTTGGGTGCCTCAGAGGTGCCCAGGACAACCATGGTTCCTGACGCTCTTCAGTTTAGCGCTTTCCCATAGAGCTGTTTCCTGACCCCTTTGAAGACCATTTCCTTAAAATGCCAGAGGCCTGCCAAAATCTTGCCCACGAATGTGCCCCTTTCTCTTTTAACCTACATGGATTCGAGAAGGGTGTTTGCTATTTGTAACTAGGAAGTATAAGAAAAACAATCGTCCCCTTGACAATTATCACTCTCAAAAATCAGTTTTTTATTCATACCAAGAAGAATATAAGAACAACAGTAACTTGCATTATGGTGTTTTATAGTAGGTGCTAACACCCATATTCAAAGTGAAGAAATAGGTTCTGAAAGATAAATAACTTGCTCAGGACCACAGTATGGTGGATGTTAAAACTGAAACTCAAACCAGGTGACTCTTTTTTCATATATATATATTTTAGTTGTAGTTGGACACAATACCTTTATTTTATTTATTTTTATTATGTGGTGCTGAGGATTGAACCCAGTGCCAGTGCCTTGCATGTGCTAGGTGAGTGCTCTACTGATGCGCCACAACCCAAGCCCCTCAAACCATGTGACTCTTGCTATCAACAATGTTGTCATTTCTGAAGTGTTAAACTTTGCATCACTGGGCTGGGGAGGTAGCTCCAGGGGAAGATGGGCTGCCTGGCAGGTGCAAGGCACTGGGTTTGAACTCCAGCACCCAAAAGATAAAAATTAAAAACTGGAAATATTGGATCACCAGTTGGGATTCTCCCCTGCCCCAGGTCTCCTGGTTTCAAAACATTATAACATTATCTTTTTTTCAGAACATATCAAGAGCTGAAATACTAGAGTTTGTAGCTCAAAGATTACTGCTTCCCTTTTTAAAAAGACACTGTTCATCTTGGAATAGTTTTAATTATACAGAAAAGTTGCAAAGATAGCACAGAGAGCTTTCACTGTCTCTCCTAATGTTAACTTCTTACATTACAGGGTACATTTGTCAAAATTAGGAAACCAACATAGATACATTACTAGGAACCAAACTCCAGACTTTATTCAGATTCCACCAGTTTTTCACTAATGTGCTTTTTTTGTTCCAGGATCCAATCCAGAACCTCACATTGCATTTAGACTGCTTCAAAATTTAACTTAAAAAATAAAAATGGAGACATTTAAAGCAACCCAAGTTGGACTTAAATGTAAATGTGAGATTTTCTATTTTTGGAGAACTTTCCTTTGCAGATTCTCCTGCAGATCCCAAATAGCTAAGTATTATTTGGGCCTACTAAGGCATAGGTTTATTACCTTTTTAATTTTTTCTCCTTCAAACCTAACCTGGACCAGAGATACAGGCATTTATAGTTTCCAAGGCATCAGACTAATTCAAACAACGTTCTTAGGCTGTGCCACCCAAAATGCTAAATTTTGAATTTTTTCTTTGTGTTTCCCAATTTTCTACAATAAATAATTTTATATCCAGAAAAAAATATTTTAGTGTGGTATATTGCACATGCAAAGAAGATCCTCATATGGATTCTCTTGGGTTCACACATATATTGAGTGTGTGCTCCATACAAGATGCTGGGTTCTGGAGAGGGCAGGGGAATGTCACTATGCATTTGTCTTTTCCAGTTAGCGCTCAAGTTGAATCAGCCTTCCAGTATGTACAGGTTCGGAGGTCCATCTGATCTGGTTCTTTTTAATATCATTAAATCATGGTTCTGTGCTTTGGAAATGTAGTCATTTGACATTGATTGGATTACTACTGTCATTTCTTAGCTTCTGCACTGTATTATAGACTCATCTATCTGTGCTTCTTGTCATGTGACTTTTCAGTGACTCCCACTAAAGTGTATGATGTAATTTCTGTTTTTCTTGTATCTGGCTTAGCCGTGTGACTTGTTTTGGCCAGAGAAAACTGGTCACTCTGTCAGTTCCAAGGTGAGGCTTTAGGGGACATCACTGGGATCTGCTTCTGTTGTGACATGTTATGATCCACTGTGAGAAAAATCTTGCTCAAAGTTGCCACTGTCCCTTCAGCCCAGGTCCCATCATTAAGACACACAGTGGCACATGCCTGTAATCCCAGTGACTCGGGAGGTAGAGGCAGGAGGACTGCCAAGTTTGAGGCCAGCCTAAATAACTCAGTGAGATCCTATCTCAAAAAGAAAAAAAAAAAGAAAAAAAAAAAAAAGCATAAAGCAAATCAAACCTGAACAGAATCTTCCAGCCCAGCCTTGCCCAGCTGTAGCATAGATGGTCAGCTCTAGACCTACATCTGCTGCTGTAAACCATCAGGTTGGTGAAGTGTCTGTTCTGCAGCAAAACTTGACTAAGGCACCATTACAGTGTGCTACTCAGGTCGAGAGACTTCTCTCGGCCTATCACCCATCTGAAGTGCGTTCAACTTACTTCCAGGCATCAGTTCAAAGTGAGGCTTCCCTTCTTCAGTGGCCATGAGCGTGGCCAGTTTTCCTTCGATCATCTCTCCATCAATGAATTTCCCATAAAGCGCAGTCCTCTCGTCAGGGTACACATAGGCTATCTTCTCTCCAGTCATCTCCCCATCCTCGTTGACATCCCCTACAAGGCTGCCTCCGTCCTGATGGGAGAAACCAAAACCCAGAAAATATTATATATAGTATTTATCTATAGGGCACGAGTTCAAGAAATTTCCATTCTGCACTATTAGTAGCAAGAGTGAGAACATGAAACATAGCTCCTCAAGTTAATGTCCCTGTGTGCATGTAACTTCCCAGACCCTTACAAAAACACTGCGGTGATATTACATACACAAGGGCTGGTAAAGGGTGAGAAACCGAGTTACACTTTGTATCCCCAGACTCCCTGCAGATTCTCTATCTTGCTTTGTTATTTAAGAAACAAACATGTTACATTTGGAACATTAGTTGCAGACATTTAAAACAATGTAACATTACCTCTGGCTAATATCAAGGCAATCCTACCTGCCATTTCTATGATCTACTTAATGTTAGATTTTGGATTTCTAGTCTGTTAAGAAAATCTTTGGTTTAAATGTATCTAAGAATTAATTTTGTGTGCATGGGTAAATATAGATTTGTCTGCATTTTCTAAGAGAGAAACAAAAGGACTTCCAGACACTGCCTTTCTGAGAATCCTATATCATTATCTTTTTTTCTGGTACCAGGAATTGAACCCAGGAACGCTTAACCACTGAGCCACATCTCCAGTCCTTTTTACAATTTATTTAGAGACGGGGGTTGGCTAAGTTGTTTAGGGTCTCGCTAAATTCCTGAGGCTGGCTTTAAACTCATGATCCTCCTGCCTTAGCCTCCCAAACCATTACCCCTAACCTTAACACCAAAGGCAAAGTGAAATCAGATGAACTCAATTCTCTCTCAATCACTTCACACTCTATTTACTGCTTCCTTTTGCCTCCTTCAGTAAGAGGAGCCGGTTTTGCTTCATACCTAAGGATCACTGTGTACTTTAGCATAGAGGCTATGATAGAATTCTGTATCCTACTAGATTCCACGGACATAGTAGGTAACCCATAAATACTGTTTTAATTGACCTAGGGGTCCAAGAAACAATGCATAATTCAATCCAGTTCCTTCCCCCTCATGCCCTACCCTGAAGGTCCTTATGGTATAACTTTGAAATCTAAGATCTTTACATGTTTGATATAATGTAAATGCCATAACATTGCTAAAAGCTTGGTTATTTTCCCTGGTTCAAGGATCTAGAAATAGCTACTCAAAGTCAGTGATGTGGGTGACTTTTGCTGCTTATTGAGAAACAACAGAAATCAATTACATGGTATATTTGATTTCTATGCCTCGCCACAGTCTAATTGTTCTTTGTGGGAAAAAGTTTATAAATTAAAATGAATCTCAGTGCTCCCATAAGAGGAAAAACACTTGGAAGCATTTTTTCATAGGTAGAAAGTGCACTAGTACTCTATTTATTGCTCTTCCTCCTCCCCAAATTAATTCTTACTAGGCATAAATGAGGACAATACTTTGTGCATAATGCCTTCAGGCTGTCAGTGATGATTACTGAGCCTGGGCTTATGACATGCCCGAACATAAACCACTACCATTACTAGTAATTTAAAATAGAAGTCTTTCTTCCTACTCTTCATACCTTTTCCCTTAAATGCTTTAAACTTCTGGTTTTGGAAGAAGTGAATGTATTTCTCTAGAATGATAAAATAGAATTCTTTTATTTCCCAAAGGAGTTATGCATTTTTATTTTATTTTATTATTTTTGGATACCGGAGATTGAGCTCACAGGCACTCTACTGCTGAGCTACCTCCCAGCCCTTTTTATTTTTTTTTAATTTGAGACGTGGTCTTGCTCAATTGTAAGTTGATCCTATCCACAAGCTGGCCTTGAGCTTGCCATCCTTAGTCACCCAAGTAGCTGGGATAATATTCCAAATAATGTCCAAAGAGTTATGCATTTTTAATCAAGAACTTTGTTTTACAGTTTGAGGGAATTTCTTGAAAGAAATGAACTCTTCTTAGAGTGAGCCTATAAGCACTGCGGGAAGAATAAATTCTTCTTTTCCTGTTTTGATTCCTTCACACAGAAATATCCTTGTCTGGTCTCTGGGGGGTGCTGGGTAGGAAGCTGTGGATTCTGGCCTCTGCTCGCTGGCTCCCCCTGGTGGAGTGAGGAGTCATTCAAGCGATGTAGCCGGCTAGAGGGCAGGTCTGACACCAACACCCATTTCTTCTTTGGGTGGGGAGTATCAAGATAAAGTTTTCTTTCAGGCATCTGCCTTTTTTTTTTTCTTTCTCAGGCCCTTATCTGCTGCCTGATTTCCCCTTTCCATTGGAAGCTCCTCGAGGCAGGCCCACAACCCCTGGGCAAACATGCAGCCTTCTAGCCACTGTCGAGAGCTGGCCCATCTGCTCAGTTCCCAGGGGAAGGAGTAGAAGGCCATGGGCCCATACCACACCTCCAACCCAACCCTGCCATAATAAAAACTGACAACTTGACCTCTGACACCTGAGTCTATTTCTTAACTGTTTCAGACTCCAGACAGCAGAGGAGTGTGAGCCACCCCCTCAACTGCCCACAGATACCACACTTAAAACAGGCATTACCAACCACTTCTGAAAGCTAAGAACTCATTAGCCCTTCCTTCCAAAGGCAGCTTCTCTTGGCATTTAATAAGATAATAATTAAGGCTACTTATTAACATGTAGCTGCATTTTTAGTTTTCAAAGTGCAACAACACTGAGAGAGGTGAACACAGTCCCCCAGCTTAGAGCATCTTTGATCTCACAGCGATTGTAAGTTGATCCTATTCACAAGTTAAATGACAGGCAGTGGGAGAGCCTGGGGATCTCTATTTTGCCTCTCTCTGCCTACAGAGTTCCACTTACTTCTGTGACTTCAAGGTTCACTGTCATTTCAGCACCTCCCCAGCAGTGGGCAGCCAGAGGCTCACCTGGGTCCTCAGGAAGCCCAATCTCAGTCTCCTTAAGGTGGCAAGTGCCTCCCCTCTTCCTGTCCCACTTGCCTTTTTCTAGGTGGTAACTGAAATGACTTATGATCAGTCATGGATCCTACCACGAGGATATGTAAATGCTTTCGTAATTAAAAAAAAACTATTAGTTATTGATGGACCTTTACTCATTTATTTGTTTATATGTGGTGCTGAGAATTGAACCCAGTACCTCACACATGCTAGGCAAGCGTGCTACCACTGAGCCACAACCCCAGCCCCGCTTTTGTAACTCTTAGCAAATGTTTTACACCTTCTTTTTCTAGAGTATATGTTTCTTCCTTCCTTCCAGATGGGTCTTGCTATGATGTCCTGGGTTCAAGCAGTTCTCTTGCCTCAGCTTCCTGAGTTCTTGGGACTACAGGCATGCACTTCCGTACTCAGTTTAACTTTTTAAGAACAATAATGTGTAAGTAGATTTAATGGGAGCTATTTTTCTTTTACATATGTAATAATTTGTTTTTATTAACATTTTTAAATTGTAAGAAGATAGGGTTCAGAGTAAGCATCTGGATATGACAAAATATTAAATAAAATATTCCCTAAGGTTTATTTTCTGAAATATTTTCTGGAAACTCACTAAGAACAGATGGGATATTTGAAATGTGAACAAAAATTAGAACATTAATTCTGAACTAGGGGTTTTGCCATGTCTACTTGCTCTAATAAATTCCAGTTTACTCTCACCAATTACTCAGGCAAGTTAGATTAAATCACCTTAATTCAAGCAATATAAACTATAAAGCGACTTCAAAAGTAGTGACATTGTGAAAGTAAACAATGGTGTAGTAACAAAAAAAAAAAAAAAAAAAGGAAATCTCTGGATTTAATCTTACATATGAGAAAGAGAACACAATAAATAGCAACAATGAAATAGCCTACCACTCTTTCTATATGCCAAAAGGAATTAAAAGCAATGTGTGTGTATATATCTATATATTATCTTTTACTTGGTTAGTGGTATGATAAAATTGATTCATCCCAGTTAATCATTCTTTCCCAAAAACGACTCTAAAAAAATGACCAACTCCCAGGACTAAGCCTACGTCAGCAGCGCACAGCATGCCCGGGCCTCCCAGACTCTGGGCTTCAGCGACTGGGCTGCTCGGTTCCGGTTCCGCAGCGCCTCCATTTGGAGCAGAGCGCGCACCCGGCTCTTTCTGTCTTACTGCACCACACCTTCCCACAGGAGCAGACGCAGGCTTACTGGGTAGTAGATCCAGCACACTCCGTGGCGAATGTTGTCTTTGTACTGCCCCTTGAAGATCAGGCGCCCATCCGTGTCGTACTCCTGCGCTGGGCCGTTCAGCTCTCCGTCCACGTAGGTGCCCTGGAGAACGCCGCCGTCCTCGTAAGTGTAGACGCCCTGGCCCTGCAGGGCGTCGTCCACGTAGTACCCCTCCAGGGTGCTGTGAGGGGGAGGACAAAGAGGGACAGTCAGACAGACTCAACTCTCCCCAGGACAGGACCACGCCCGAGGCCCTGATGTGCAGCCCTGTCCAGCCCGACAGGCGCAGGGCACCCTCCTGAACCCTGGTAAAGTGGGTGAGGGGAGGAGGGAGGATGAGATCTAACTCCCATAATCCTTTCTCGGCTGGAGGAAAGAGAAGAAGAAAGCCACAGGTGGAACCGAGGGCAGACCTCACCTAAATATGTTTCTGGGGCTAGAGACCAAGCCACACGGGGCCAGAGAAATTCCGGCATTACCTTTGCCACTTATAAACCACTCACGTTGATCTCCCTCAAGAGAGGGCCAGAACTCACTGGGAGTTCTCAAGCTCTTTCCGATGGTTACAGGGATCGCCAATAAGACGAATGCAGGTTAGAATATGTTTTTTTTTTTTTTTTTAAGAATGCATGGCTACTTATGTGTGTGTCTGTCTACCCACATAAGCTCCAAATCACTAACGTGCAGCTCACCAATGATCGCCTTAAAAGGCATCCAGACAAGTAATCCCCTTGTATCTCTTTGGAAGGTCCTGGAGATTTATTTAAATGTATGGACATATGTGTATGTTTGTGTGACACACAGATATAAGTCATGCATCACTTGACATGAGAACAGCTCCTGAGAACTATATATATATATATTTGTACTGGGGATTGAACTTGGGCACTTGACCACTGAGCCACATCTCCAGCCCTATTTTGTATTTTATTTAGAAAAACGGGTCTCACTGAGTTGCTTAGCACCTCGCTAAATTGCTGAGGCTGACTTTGAACTCAGGATCCTCCTGCCTCAGCCTCCTGAGCTGCTAGAATTACAGGCATGTGCCACCATGCCTGGTGAGGCACATGTAATTTTGCTATTGTGTGAACATTGTAAGTGCACCTATACAACCCAGATGGTATAGCCTACAACACACTCAGGCCACAGTATAACTGTATGGGGTTCACTATCCTACATTCTGCCTGTCACGCCATTCTTAGGTGGTATGGGGCTGTACACACACACACACACACACACACACACACGATCATGGCCAGTGGGGGCAAGAAGGAAGACCATGGCTCACCCTGCTGATGTCATGTCTCTGATAACGCCTGAGCCCTGGTACTAGGTGGGAGAGCAGTGCTGTGGTGATGTACCAGCACCCCTTTATCTCTCTCCCCAGAAAACACCCTTGGAAGTTCAGAAACAGGACTTCTGTGTCCTATCAAAGGCTATGCAATGAAACTAACCCTACCAAATGTTTCTTTTATATACTAAAATTTGGAATAAGAGCAGCTCAAATTATTATTATTATTATTTGGTACCAGGGATTGAACTCAGGGACACTTGACTACTGAACCACATCCACAGCCCTATTTTGTATTTTCTTTAGAGACAGGGTCTCACTGAGTTGCTTAGCACCTCGTTTTTGCTGAGGCTAGCTTTGAACTCACCATTCTCCTGCCACTGGGATTACAGGCATGAGCCACTGTGCCTGGCTCAAACTATGTTTAAAATTTAAAATGTGAGAAATTTAGAAACAAAAACATCATGATTGTTTTAATATATGCATGTAACACTCATTCATTGATTATTTTAGTATGTGTAACTATATTCACTCATTCATTCATTCACTCAAACAGTGAGCATTTAGAGTGTGCCTTCTGTGTAGCAAGCACTGTGTGCGGCTCTAGAGAACATGAAGACAGAACACACAACTGGACTGTTTGGCCTGGTGGGCACACACTGTGTCCTGAGCCAGGCAGGATGAGCACACATGGGGTGCTGGGGTACATGGGATGCAAAGTGGCCACAGGAACTGAGGTGGCTGTCCCTGACTGCCTGGTAAAGACTTGTCTCATTTTAATGAATGACTGAGAACGATCTATAATTATTAAATGAAAAGTACAGCCTAACAGGCGATAGCCCCTGATGACATTGTAATTACACTATTTGCAGCCTCCCAAGGAGATAAATAGTTCTCTTTCAGCTTTGTTTGCACTATCAATGACAAATAGGCTTACTAAATTCATGAAGAAAATGCACTTAGCATAGCCGTTGCATAAATAATCAAAATTCCAAATCAGTGAGGCTGAAATTAATGAGATTCAACCATTATTAGACTCCCACAATTAAAGAAAAAAAAAAAAAACACCTTGGAGAACGATTACTAATCAACTGACATATTGATGCAATATACAGTACAAAAAACAACTTAATCATTCATCTTCATATTTTGGATTGTCAGATAAAATATCAATGCCCGGTTAAGTTTGAATTTCAGAAAAATAACAAATAATTCTTTAAGTATGTCCCACCAATTTTTAACTTAATTAATTTATTTTTAATTTAAAAAATTTCTTTTAGATAGTCTTACACTATTGCTCATGAATGCCTAGGCTCAAATGATCTTGCCACCTCAGCCTCCTGAGTAGCTGGGACTATAAGCATGCATCATGGTGCCCAGCCCAAATACTAAATAGTACATAATTATACTAAAAATTTTTGTTGTTGTTGTTTATATGAAATTCCAGTTTAACCATGTGTGCTGGATTTTATTTGCTCATCTTGGCAACTCTGTGGACTTTGGATTCTCAGCAACATTCAAAATGTTCCTGTGTATGTTTGGGTACAATTATCCCCCAAAGGACCAGTCTGCCAATATTCCTCAGGTTTAAGACCAAATCTTCAAGGCACAGGTCTTGCAAATCAGTTAAATAATAACAGACTTGCACATATTTTCCCATAACCATATCCAGTGGCTTGTCCTATTCCTTGCCAATGGCCAATGAAGAAACTGCTGTTTCCCTCTCTTAGTCCAGGGGACTTTGGACACACGAGTGCAAATTCTTAAGGTGCTGGACAGTAGTCTTACTGCATGACTCTTTAGCATCTGCTTATCCTTAGCTTTCTTGGCAACTTTTTATGGTTAACTTGGATGGAATCTTATGACAAAAAGGGCATGTCACACACTCGAACTGGGTTCTCCAAGGAAATAAAAATCTCTGAAATCCTCTGGCATTGAAGAAATGAAGGAAAAGCTCCTTAGATTGGCCTTCAAAGCCAGGCTTTCTTTCCAGCTTTTCCTTCCAGAGAAGGCTGGAAATTGTGACCCATGACTTGCTTTTGTAAATAAAGTTTTATGTGAACACAGCCATGCACATTCCTTCTTGCCTCCTGTGACTGCTTTCCGACGCTGGTGGAAGAGTTGAGGAGTTGTAGAGACGGTATGTGGCCCAGGAAGCCTGTTCCTCTCTCACCCTGAATAAAAAACATCTCCTGCCTCTTCGGCTTACATTATATATTCACAGACTTCTATGTACATTAGCTTCCATACTGTGTGTTTCCTTTCATCCTCCTTGAAACCTAAGTGAGCTGACTTTTTAGCTCTGCATCTCCAAGGACATATTCAGGAAAAAATCACGAGTTAATTTTTCTATCACCTCCCTTCCTTCCTTTTCTCTTCATTCAAAACATAAAGGCCTTGGGATAATACTGAATATTTTCAATCCTCTGGCATTTTTCCATTCAAAGAGAGAAAAAAAAAAAAAAAAAAAAAAAGAGAAAATGGTGCTATTTTGTAGCCACTAAAATGTCAATGTGGTTATATTTGAAAAGTAGGTACACAGAAGTAGCTTTCTAATCTTTCTTGCAGAAACTGGCCTGAGAGTTGTTTTAGAGCATCTGCTTATCACTGTATGAACATAGATCCCTCATCTTCCCCATGGAGCCCTAATTTCCCTCAAAGTCTACCCTGGCCAGGCAGCCCTGCAGACTATTACTCATTGCAGCTTAGTCAGGCACTATTCTAGAACACTCCAAAGCTCTACTGAGGTTAAACTCCATGTCCTGGGCTGGGGTGTAGCCCAGTGGCAGAGTGCTTGCTTGGCATGTGCAAGGCCCTGGGTTTGGTTCCCAGCATTGCAAAAAGTAAATAAATAATGTGTCCTATTTTTCTCTATCTAGGTTGTAAGTCCTTTACATATAAACAGCAGATCATCCTTAAGCAAGAACCTCAAGGCTATTATGGGGAGCTTTCCACTGAGAAACTGGGTTTAAAGCAAGGAGACAGTTACAAAACACTGGGATAGTCAAATTTAAAAACTGCTTCAATTCTACTTTTTTTTTTTAAGCAAGAAAGAGTCCTCTCTTTTTGCAGTAAATTATGAGTGACCCAGTTGAAAGGGGAAGGGTGGAATAAATGGCTCTTTATGTTAAAAAGGTAACATGTGTTTACTGTCAAAGAAAACACACACAAGCACCCTGAGCCGTGGAAGGCAGAAACCCAGGATTTGTGCCCAATTATGCACAGCATCTGAGACTTTTTCAAGGGTGTACCATGCATTTTCCCACCTTTTGTTTTTGTTGTTTTAACAAAAATGGGATCACAACACACAATTTCTTAACTTGTATTTTCTTGAAGTCCTTTTCAACATCTTGGCAGATTTTTCAGTAGTTATGAAATTACAAAAAAAAAAAAAAGGTCTTTCAATTTTTCTGGCACCAGCATCTGAATTAAACAACTGGAAAGTTTAGAGGAAATGAAAACATCAATTTTAATTAAATTTCTTTCTCTGCATGCACACGGACCATTTCTGGTTTATCAAAGCTCTCATACTTCCAGTGAAGTTTTCAGTAATAAATTAGGAAATCTAACTTAACATAAAAAAAAATATGTTTTATAATAGTTTGCAAGATGCACTTGAGATCTGATACACTTGCATTTTATACAGACACCACTGCATTTTCACTTAAAAATCACCTGCAGTATCTGAATTTGCAAATGTCATTAGGGACTAAACAGTGTGGGCTTGTTGTCAGGGTCTGAGGCTCTAGAAGATTTGCTGCTTTCCACCTCATGGGCCTAAATTCTATTCCCTTCCTTTTGTCAACTACAGCAACATGAGAACCAAGAGGGAAATATAAAAATGAATCATAATTCTACTTTAAATTTCCATTCTTAACCAAATTAAATTG